ATATTCACCAGTTTTCGATTATACCTCAGGAAAAAACATCTGGTGTAAACAATTAGTTTTGACCCCTTCTTTCTCCTCCTTTCCTACTGACCTAGAACATAAAGGATCACATCAGTAATAGGCTATAAAGAAAGCTCTTTCTTTTCTAAAAGATAATACGTATTTCTTAGAGCAGTCACATTTTCCTTAAGACTGTATTCTTATAATATTTATAGGAGATGTTACATGGAAGCATTTTTTTTAAAGGCGTTGGAACGTGAGGATTATTTTGGTGTGTGGTTTACTGGGATTTTTAGTCATAAGCTAGTGGGTGCTTCCTAGCTCACTGGTATTTCTTTTTTTTATTTTTTATTTTGGATGTTAGAGTAAATTGTAGACCCTAGGTGACTAGGCTAAGAGTGAGAGGGTTAGACTCAGCAGGAAAGGATTCAGGGGGCCAGCATCCCAGCATCCCAGCAGCAGCCTAATGGGACTGCTGGGCAGTCCCTAAAAGTGATCAAGATGCAAGAAAAATGAAACAAGGTGAAGCTTTGTTTGGAAGTTGTAGAAGAAGTAAAAGCTTTGCTTGATTTCCCAAGCTATTTTAGTAATTGGTTGAATGCCATGACACCACGAAATACGTTTGACTTTAAAAGATGTTTTCTTAGAAGGAGACATAATCACACATCAGCTGGGATTTGTGGTGGTCCTTTTTGTGAAATGTTTCCACGGACATCACCTCACTTCCTTCCTTTGCACACTGTAAAGCACGTATTCTTAGCTCCCACTTTTCTGTGAGCAGCACACTTCAGGTAGGCACTTGCATGATCGTTCAAGCCTAGACCTGGATCTCCTCGTTCCTTGTCCAGGGCTCTCTGCATGCTTTCAGGGTTTCCCCAAGCAATGGCACCATAGTTGTACCTAAGATGCTTTTGTGGGGACAGATGGACCTTAGATGTCACAATGGCTTTATGTTTATTTTCATGAATATTAGGAAGATATATGCAATTTAACACCTCAAACCTATGAATTCAAAACAACTGTAACAGAGGACAAGTATAAGTTTCAAAATAAGTGAGTCAATTGACAAGAGACTATTCACTAGCTATAAATAGGCATGGAACTCAGGCCTGACAAAAATCCTGAAGGTGACACACAAATGACTATTTCATCTGCTCCGTGTTTATGGAACACCTGTGGAGCATCCTGCCTTCTGTGCTGGGTGGTTTGCTTTTTGTTTTTTTGTTTTTGTTTTCTGTTTAATCCATGCAAGGACCCCATCAAGTTGTTACACACAGCCCTGCCCTTCGGTGACAGGCATGGTTCTGCCTGTTCACTTTCTGTCTGCTGCTAATTATTTTGTCTTCTTTTCTCATTCAGGGGATGAAGTATTCCCTGAGCTACATCTCTGCTGACTACGCTCAAGTATATTCCAGGTTAGCTCTGAGCCATGGCTGTCCTCCCTATGCAAGGTCAGCCTTTCTGGTGCTGCCTCCATGTAGTGAATATTCTGCTTCTTGGGGAGGGGTGACAGTGACAGCACACTGTGCTTTTTTAGATTTACCTTTAATTATAAAGCTTAGTTTTATTCTTCTTCAGCTTAGTCGTCACTTTGTATAGTTTATTCATTTTTTCACATCTGCTCTTCAGACTGTTTATGTAGCTCTCCTGGTAGCCAATTAGAAGCACTGTACATCTTGCCTCCTCACGTCAGTCACCAAATCAAATTCAATGGTCAGGTGCAACGTTGACCTTATGGGGAAATTTGGTTCGGCCCATGACCAACTCAGTTTGCAATCAGAATCTGGGACGGAATTAAGGTCCTGAACTGAGTTACCACTGTATTTTAAACACTGGCTCTAAAGCATATATGAAAACACTGTACTGTAAACCTCTCCTTATGTATTTGCTACAGTATAAGTTTTATTGCCTCTGCCTTGGGATATTGGCTCCAGTTTGGCCTAGGGCATAGCTTGAGAGCATGGTTACTCTTCGGCCTCTTTTCTGGTAAGCTCAAAGCGAGGCACAACCATAATTCAGATCTGGACAGGGCTTCTTGGCTGAGTTGACTATAGTTTATGACACCTATCCCTTTTCCTCTTGGTATCAGCAAATAATTGAATGTTTATTGTGCACCGACACTTCCTTCTATTAATTTAATTGAATTCTTCCAAGTGACCCATGTGTCAAGGTGTCTATTTTTATTATCTCTATTTTACAAAATGAAACTGAGTCTCAGAAAAGACCCTGATGAAGGTCGGTCAGAAAGTGCCAGAGGTAGCACATGAAACTGGAGAGTCAGGTGGCAGACGTCCCCTCTGAACCTCACAGGGACCTCTTTCTGGCTTGGGTTAATTTCACAGCCCTAGGGAGGAGTTTAGTCATTTCACATTCCCTTTGCACAACACCGTGAGGGTCCTGAATGTGGGATGCAGGAGTCTTGCCTTCCCCTCCAGAATGAAGTTCTTTCTTCTCACCCTGCTCGTGTCTAGCAAGGGGGTGAAGATGTCGGAAAGCGGCTCTGGGATGGAAGAAGCCACTCAGACGGGTAGCAAAGGATTGCGTCACACAGTAAGCTGTGGTTTTAATATTTCTTCAGGCTTCTCTTTCTCAGGCTTATTTTTGTAAAAAAAAGTGTTAGAAACACAGAAGCCAAGGGAGGCACGCAAGGGGCATTTTCTGTTAGATGTCTCTGATTCAGTTTAGAAATCGGATTTGAGCCAGTCTTGGACCATCTATCTCCCTCTCACCCAAGCTCTGAGAGGACACAAAGGCTAGACAGCAATGGTTGGCCTGGGCTTCCCATTTCTAGCTCATTGTTTTCAGTAAGTAGCCTATGGTGATGCCCTGCTAGAGTTTTGCTGTTGTATTATGTGTGTTTGCTTTGTGGGAGAAAGAAGCAGCGAACTTTTGAGGAGAACTTACTCACCTTCCTCTCTAGATGACAGTGGGCATAATGCTTCCTCCTCCAGGTACATAAAATGTCATCAGAAGTCAATTTTCTGGTTTTAGGGGCAAATTTTTTACTTTGAGGCAAGAGGAGCAGGGAGTTTTGTGTACATTGATAAATGCATTGTAACCTAACATCAAAGAGAACCTTCCCAAATATTTTTTAGTCACCAGAATATTAAACTGGGCTCCTAGCCAGGTACCTGGCCCTTGTTCCCAATGCAGGAAGGGTTCTGAAAGTTGATCGTGGGTAGACTGTCGGTAAATGCCTTTCCGAAATGAAGCCTGTTGATTTTCTTATGGATGATCCTATCTGCTAAATCTTGGCACCTTAGGAAGTTGACATAAGAAAGTTTATTTCTTACTCATACAAATCCAGTCAGGAGTAGAAAGGTCCACAACTGATGAAAGTTCTGTCATTTTTTTAAAAACTAAACTGGTTCCTAGTCGAGCACTGACATCAATCCAAATGATTAGGAAGGGAAGGCAGGAGACAGAGAGAGAAGATTGGAGGATCACACGGAGGGTCATTTTATGGGCTGGACCTATACATAGCACCTGTGGGTAGAAATGATATCAGCTCACTCACATGACCACACTTTACTTCAAGGGAGACTATGAATTGTAGTCCAATATGTGTGCTGGAAGAGAAATGGCCATGATGAACATCTGGCCAGTTGTTGCTGCCAGGCAGTGGTTAGAACATGGCAACGGTAGTACTTGGCGGTTTGGTTGTTTCCTGTAACAGAGAGACCAAGATGTTCCTTAGTTTTGATGTTATTTCTTCCCTTCATTCCAAGCTTGACCAGCCTACCCACCTTTCCTTAGTCAGGGATGGGTAGTTCCCTTTTGGCTTCTCTACTTGGATCTCAGTTTTCCTGTTTCATTGAGAAGCCTGATGACACTTTGGAAATCTGTCCTTAATGATCTGATATCAGCCTGGCAGGGCTGTGGGACACTGATGAAGTAAACAGCCTTCCCTTGTCAGTCTACAGGCTCTCGGCTCTTGTTTTCAATTTCACAAAGCTTCCCCTACTGCCCTGATAATTGCTTCAGGCTGGACAAGGCTTCCTGCAGCTCATGTTGCCTTCCTCTTCCTCTGGTTGTGACACAGAGTCACCACAGTGCCATACGTCATCCCTTACCCTGGCACCAGGACAGGGGCTGATATCTCCCCAGGCAGGATCAGGCACATGGAAACAGAGGTAGATGGCACTTGTTGATAGATGGCACTTGGGAGAGCTCACCAATCCAGGCTGTTATTTCAGAACTGGTAACCTGTGTTTTTAAGAGGAGCCTCTCAGCCGCGTACAATGGTGCTCACTTACAGTCTCTGCTACAGATTGGACGGGCCACTTGCTTGAGACCAGCCTGGGCAACATAGCAAGACCCTATCTCAAAAAGGTAAAATTAAAGGAGGAGCTTCTGCAATAGTATATTCATCAAAATGATGTTCATTATAGGTGTTTTAAAATAATGTACCTACAGGATTCTTGATGACAGATAAGCCAGCTACTCTGTTCCCAGAAGCAGCATACAGCCTGGTTTTGCCTGTAATAACATTGAGTAAAACTGCATAGCCTCCCCTCTGTGATGGCTACCCTCGCTCAAGACATGTGCACATTTTTGAGTGGAAAGATGAAGAATTTGGACTAAGAAAATTAGGATTTGTGTTTGAGGGGCCTTGTATCATTACAGATATCTCCCATTCAGAATATTTCACTTAAAAAAAAAAGACCTCAGGGGAGGAGGGGGTAAAGGGAGGGCAAGGACAAGGGGAAAAAATAAGAAGCAAGACTTGTCACGTAGAGGTACAAGATCCCAACAATGAATGTAACTGTACTGTATCCCTAAAATGTACCAATAAACTCAATTAAAGCTGAAAAAAAAAGATCTCAAAGTCCAAGTGCATTTTGTAGCTTAACATTCATAGTTTTTGATTATAGCAGTGAGTATTGAGTATGAAGCAAGCTGTCCCAAATGGTTGTTGAATTAATTAATTACCTCTGGGGCTAAGTAGTTGCTAGTCAGCATCAACAATTCCACAAGCAAGATGTGTTAGAAAGACCATCTCTTAGCCTCCAAGCTTAGTAATTTAAAAGATGCCACTAATGAAACACCAGTTGCTTGTTGAATAACATTTTAAAAGCTTAGAACTGTTTGCAGTATTTTCATTACAGATGGTCATTTATCCAAAAGAAATGACAAATAAGTATTAAGTTTAAATGTGCTTTTAAAGTATTTTCAGTTAAATGAGTATCCAGTGAAGGAATTAATTAAGGAAATAAAAAATAAAAATGCATTTAAATTTAAGGATATTGTTTTTACTCTCATAATATTGAAATAATTTCGAGTAATCAAATTAGAAAATTAAACAGAATTCATTGAAGAAGTCCAGGGATTTAGCTCAGTGGTTCTGGCACCTGCCTCGCAAGCACAAGGGCCCAAGTTCGATCCCTGGTACCAAAAAAAAGAATTTATTGAAGGGGTTTGGATGTCCATCATGTTCCAGTTCTAGGACTATAGGATCACATAACCAGGGCTTCCTGCCCTAAATAATCTAGGAACCTTTTCAGGGAAGACAAGACTATAGTATGGTGGTACTGATGGGATATTATATTGTATACCTAAAATGTACCAGTAAAATTAATTTAAAAAGAAATGTGAATAATGTGAATGGAAATATGAAGCTGTTGTTGGTGTCAAGGGATGGAGAGGCAGAGAAGGGTGAGGGAAACATACACACAAGATGCATCATTTTAACTGGACTTCTCTGGGGAGGCCCGGGGGATTGTGGGAATGCAGTCAAATGAAGCGGGAGGCAGGAAGGATGAGGGAAAGGATGGAGTCTGTAGCCCAAGAATGAAGTTGGCCTTTCCTTAGGCCAAGAATTTGTTGAAAAACCTAGCTGCTGTTAACTGGTTAAAGTTCACAAGCAAGGGTACTGTAGTATTTCTAAATGTAAAAAATATTCACAATAGTCCTCATTTTTCATTTACCTGACATTGTCAGAGAATGAAATTTTTCACCGAAATGATTTTTCTCAATACCAGAAACTTTCTAATCTAAATGTCAAGGCTTTATTTTAACTTTCTAAACTTGACGAAACATTTGACAACTCTAGTTTATCTTAATAAATGTCATCTATTGTGCTATGTTAAAATGTCTTCAGAGACTATTAAGCATATACAATGATTTGCTTCGAAAAATCAAAGGCCTACTTAAAAAATTGTTTTTGGCTTCTGAATTCCCCCCTTCCATTATTCTTTCTGTGTGCTCATTTGCCACAAGTTTTTCTTGCTGCTGTCAGTTTGCTGGATACTGGTAGCTCTTTTCATCCAATTTGCTATCTTTACTCAGGTATAGAATAGAAAATAAGAAAATCAGTCTTGCCCAAATTATAACCAAGAAAAACCAGTTGGCTAAAATTGAGGTACTCTCCCAAGAGATATGAAATACTGGCTTTGTGGCACCTTATTTATTCGTTATTTCTTGGTTGTGTTCTGTCTAGCAAGGCTGCTAAAAGGAAGACCTCCAAAAAATGGAGTTGTTACAGTATTTGAATGAGCCCTTGAATCTGTTAAGGGAAATGACATATGCTGAAATTGCTCTAAGTTGATGTATTTCCTGTGATAATCCTTAGAGATTTTAGGAAAGCAAACCATGTAGAACACAATTTTTCAAAATGTTGATGGGACCTTAGTATTTGAGATTTTATAAACCTTTCCAGACAAGGAGAACATTCCATCACAAGTCAGGTTAGCAAAGGGGACTATTCATTTGTCTTCCACAGCAGAAAGCCAGCCTTTCAGCAGATCATTTTGGAACTTTGGCTTGTGATTCAATATTTATAATTATTATACAATGAGATGGCATTTCAAGAGGCAGCCTGGTATATTTGGGGCTTTAAATGTACAAACTAACTTAGCTGATGTAGCTTCGCAGAGGCAATACTGTTATCCACATTTTTCCTCCAGAAGAAGAAACTAAGAATTCAAAAAGGACTTGTATCACACAAGTAGAATACTCCTGGGCAAGGCTGGAAGCCCAGATGCACTTGACCGCTGAGCTCACGGTCTTAGAAATTCGTATTTTATCCCAGTTCTTGCCGCATCGAAATGCTCACTATTGCCAACTGACGTCTACATTCTTTCTTATCTGCAAAGCAAAGGAAGTGAATCAGCTGGTTTCTAAGATTTCTTTTCCGCTAGTTACAGTCCTATACCTTTTAGATTAGTCTTCAGTGTCCAGAAGACGACAGAGTGGCAGATTTATCTGGATGGAATAATCCCAATGAGCACTCTGCCAGTGCAGTGCATCACAAAACTAAAACTGAGCGTTTTCCAGCTTTGCTTTGCTAACCGAGATTTTCCTTGTGTTGCTACTCTGCATTCCAGTCTCCTGGTCTTGCCTCTGACAAGTCCCTGTATGAGTAACGTGTGGAAGAGGATGGATGAGCAAGTGAAGCCAGTCAGTGCCCATGGCTCTGTGGAATTCTTTGCAGCTTCCAGACCTGCTTTCTGATAGGCACTTACAGAGTAATGGAAGTACTCCTTGCTAAATGAACAAGTCAGCCTCATTAAGATAATCCTTCACTTTGCTGTAGAAAGAAGAAAGTCCTA